TATTCCTCAGGCGTATGAATGGTTTGCACCTTGTGGTGAACCCTCTGTATTTGCTCTGGTGAAGTCTTCTCTTGATTGTAGACTTTGACCATTATACGCCCACCTCCTGCAGAGTCTCCTTCACTCGTCTGGATGTTGTGAATAGGTTTTCCTTTACCATAGAGATAATCCTGCGATCATCCACCACTGTTGTCTTCCATGGACATCCATGCCTTTTTATGTTGCTGAGCTCACCAGTGCGTTCTTCACTCCTCAGAATGTACCAAACTGTTGATTTGGCCACTCCTAATGTTGCTGCTATCTCTCTGATGGATTTGTTTAGTTTTTGAAGCCTTACAATGGCCTGTTTCGCTTGCATGGAGAGCTCCTTTGAACTCATGATGTAGGTTTACAGCAAAAGATTCCAAATGCAAATTCCACACTTATAATCAACTCCAGACCTTTTACCTGCTTAATTGATGAAGAAATAATGGAGTAGCCCACACCTGGCCATGAAACAGCTTTTGATTCAATTGTCCAATTACTTTTGGTCCCTTGAAAAAGGGGGGTGGTGGCTACTGTTAATAGTTGTAATTCCTAAACCCTTCCTCCAATTTGGATGTACATACCCTCAAATTAAACCTGAGAGTGTGCACTTTCATCCCATATCCACTATATAACTATAGCTTAAATACATTTTGGTAAATACCTGAAAAAAACTAAAATTGTGCCTGTGTCCAAATATATATGGACTTAACTGTGCATATATGTGTGTGCTAAATTTCTGCTACACAACCACATTACAGAAACATAAAACTTTTCCAAATAAAACCACTGTTTACTGCTGCTGACACCGCTATGTGATCCCACATACAGGTGCATCTCAATAAATTAGAATATCAAAAAGTTAATTTCAGTAATTCAATTCAAAAAGTGAAACTCTTATATTCTATGAATTCATTACACACAGAGTGATATATTTCAAGCATTTCTTTCTTTTAATTCTGATGATTATGGCTTACAGTTAGTGAAAACCCAAAATTCAGTATCTCAAAAATTAGAATACAGTAATACCTCAGTTTACAAATTTAATTCGTTCTGCAGGACTTTTCGTATAGCAAAAAATTCTTAAACCAAAATGCCATTTCCCATAGGAATGCACGGAAAACCAATAAATCCGTTCCGGAGGTCAGAAAAAAGTAAACGCTACTAAAATACTGCATTACTTATTTTGTCAAGTCATGTAGTATTTTAGTAGTGACAACCATGTGTTAATGTTTCAGCTGTCAGCAGTGTTCCGCACTGATAGCTGAATATAAAAGAATTGCTGCCAATTGAAAAAAAATAATTTAAAAAACGGCGTGGGGTCCCTCCTTCTATCCATACCAAACCCTTCGGGTACAATAAACCTAATGCTAAATGTGAATAGCTAAAATAAGCAATCTCAAATATTTGTGAATCATCAAGTAACAGCTCTCATATAGTAGAAGTCAAATATGGTGATGATATCACTCCAAATCCATACACCAGAAAAAATACAGTGTCTTTCCTTATGACGTGTATAATCTCTATGTAGACTTCAATTACAATGACAACAGTTTCAAATTTACACACCTCCTCCACAACTACCAAGCAGTCAGTGCCCTCACCTTTCAATTGTGACCCACATTGCACAGGTCATACACGCTTGAGGACACTTTAAGTAGTTGCCAATCATACAGTTCTCGTTCTCTCCCCCCCGCAGTAATTTTTCCACGAGTCCAGGTAACTGCCCCCTTAGGGGGTTGAGGATCCAGTTTGTGTTCTCAAATACCTCAAATCAGGACAAATAACAGCCCCATAGTGTAGTATTAAACATGCTCAATAAAAGTTATTAAATAGGTACTTACATGGAATAAACACAAAGTTGCTTATCTCACAGTATCAGGCTCAGGAAAAATAGCACCACCTCAACTTCTAATCAGTATGTGATGAAGTCATCCAGCTCTGCTCTACCTGTTACGTTACATCCACGTGATTTGATTGGTATTTGCAGCTTTCTGTGATGGAAAAGGTTATTTGCATGTGTAAAGGAGGAAGGACCCAGCTCAATGGCGTGGTTCCCTGCCCTTCTAGACTTCAGGAGGAGGAATTCTCTGCACCAGAAAGATTCTTGATGACGTCAGGTAGGGGAACCCTAAAGAGATATCCTCACTAGAAGGTAAAGCCACCAGGGTAATAGTTGATATCCTGTCTCTGGATCAACAGTTGAACCAAGGAATTCACCCCACTGTAGAGATGGAGAACTTACAAGATAAACTTGAGGCCCCGGTCCAACGAGTCTACATGCAATCCAGGGACACCCATTCTTCACCCAGACCTGTGCTAGCCCACTCAGTAAACCACCTGAGACATAGAGGGGGGGATGCACAACTAAAAGGAGCAGTCCACTCACCAGAAGGGGCTCCTCAAGGGAGTAACACGGGGAAGGAACGCCCTGGGCCACCAGGAGGTGCTTTGAGTGTTCCCGAGCTTGCAGAAAAAAATTTATCAGAACAGCCGGAATAAGGACAAAAAACCTCAGCGGAATGAGCTGATCAGAGCATCCAAAGGGTAACTGCCACTACCTTGGTGGCTCCGGAGATATCCACAACCTCAAAGGTTTTCCGTACCAAACCAATGATTATGATCACCAACACCTTTTTTTTTTTTTCTACAGCAACAGTGGTGCGGCATTACCCTCACTCTTAAAGGAAGATGAGGGCCGCAGAGAGCACCGAGGGATTACGTAAAAAGGAAGAACCACAGAGGTCACCAACAAGGAGCTGCCATATGAAGCAGGCAGAGTCACCAATACTGACTGCACCGAAGACCAAATACAAACATTTTCTGCTGCATATCACAACGGGTGGCCAACCTCTTGGTCGCAAGAAGACAAATTTGCAGCACGGGAGAAGGAAACAAAACCCGGGCATGGTGCTAACCAAAGCATCTGCCACCCTCTGGTCAGCAGAAGGTGGCAGATACACCAGAGGTCAGTAGGGCAAATGCTCATAGACAAATAGGGTAGCAGCAGGCTGGTAGGGTGGGGGTTAGTAGGGCTGATGCCATTGGCAAAATGGTAGTGGTACAGCTCACCCAGAACACAACTCCTGCAGCTGTGCCCATCTGGTAAAGGACACCGGGCTGCCATTTTTTTCTTAAACAGGTGTGGGAAACGCCACTAGAGGGTACCAACAAAATGGCTGCTGGGCGTCGTAGTCATTTAAAGGTGGGTAATTCAAATGGATACTGCGCTACGTGAACCCTTAAAACTTTTTGGGTACTATGAAGACCTTCCCACCTCTGAAAAGTGATCAAAAATTGAAAATAAAACACTGTAATAGTTAAACTAAATAGGTACATACAAATGCCCTATGAAGACCCTAACCCCTCTGAAGGGCAATCAAAATTTGAAAAAAATAATTGAATAAACTGAGTACAGTAATCATAAGTACGTGTAAGAAACCGTAATGTGTCATCAAATTATCCTAAAATTTCATGCATTATCTACGAGCCCTATGAAGACCCTCACATCTCTGAAGAGTGATCAAGGATAAGGATAGGTCAAATCTCAATGTGCAAAAAATTCACCTCAAATATACATAAAGGTTAGTAGAAAAATGTCAAAACCAAATAAACAATAACAAAAACTCCATATAGACATAAACCATAGTACATAAGTATGAGAGGAAAATTGCAAAATCGATGGTATTTTTCTAGACAATACTGTAAAGGCAAATACACACCACCACCAGGGTAATAAATGGTGGCTTACCAGAAATGGAGACCCCTCAATTACAGGGGGTCCCAACCAGCTTTATAATGTAGAGCACTGGCAGGCTTCCAGTATCACACCCCAAAGCATGGAACTTCCCAGACTCCAACAGAAATGTAAACTCAAAAGTGTAGTACCATACAAGATGTCTATTTGCGCAAATAGGATACTACTTACAAGCTGTAGAACAAATAAAATAATTCACATGAACCATATCCAAGATGGCCAACAGCGCAATAACGTCAGAGGGAGCTGCTGACCATCTTGGATTTTAGCTCATTATTAGAATCCGTCTTTTTTTTTTCTTGGTATTTGGAAGTCTAAAGAGTATTACCAGTAAAAATTTCATACTACATGCACAAGGCTTCATGCTATAAAATTCAGGTCTAAAAATGCCTATCAAACATTTTACAAATTAAGCAATAAAAGTTACCATGTTTTTTGTACAATTTAAAGACAAATTAAAACATTTTATATTCTCCCTTTGACAAAGTTTAACATGATGCAGTTGATCTCCTTGGCAAATGTTTTTATTTTCCCGAATGGCACTTTACTGGACACCCAGACATACTCATTATGAATTACAGCAACTGTCTGCTTCCATGTATGTCCTGGAAAATTAGAGCTGTCCACATTTGTTTAAATAGCAGGCACACAGTGGATTCACATGAAAAAATATTTTGTCCTCCCAGAAAGCTAAACAGCTTCAGTCTGATTGTGTGACAACAGAAATAAGAATTTAATGTTAAATACAACTAGGCTTTTATGTAAACTCTATATAATAAGGGGTAAAAAAAGTAATAATAATTGACTAAGTCTGCACAAAGTGTATATTTCAACTATGACCTTATTTCTGCAGGTTTAAACACCAACAATCTAATATTTAACAGGGATGGCAGAATCTCTATTCACCACAGCACTTTTAGGATGTGACATGCGTACACATGGACTTTTTTTTTTTTTTTTGTAATTATCATATACAGTGGGGAAAGTAATTATTTGATTCCCTGCAGATTTTGTAAGTTTGCCCACTTACAAAGAAATGAAGGGTCTATATTTTTATCATAAGTGTATATTAACCAGTTCCGCCCCGCCCTATAGCAGAAATACTGCTAGAGGGAGGCACAGCTGCGCAAAATCAAGTATATATACGTGATTACGCAGTTCCAGGTAGGGGGAACACGCACGCTCTACCCACGCCGCCATTCGTGGCCTTGGCTGTCAATCATCAGGTCCCGGCCGGTGATTACTCGCTGGCACCCGGTGATCGCCGAGTATCTCCGACAGGGGACAGACCTATATGTAAACAATACAGATCTCTCCCCGTCAGCTTCTGCACACTGCTTTGTATGGCTCTGCATACAAAGCAGTGTGCTTACAGTGAAGCACACACACAGCCTGCATAATGAAACAGCACACAGTTAACCTTTTGATCGCCCCAGATGTTAACCCCTTCATGCACAGTGCCATTAGTACAGTGTCAGTGCTTTTTATTAGCACTGATCACTGTATTGGTGTCGCTGGGGATGTCAGTGACACCAAGTCAGTTCCCCCCAGTGTCAGAATGCCCGCCGCAGTCCCGTTTTAAGTCGCTGATCACCGCCATTACTAGTACAAAAAAAAAAATCTTAAAAACCAGTATATATAACGCCATTTGTAAACGCTATAACTTTCAAGTAAACCAATTAATTTACACGTATTGGGATTTTTTTTTTTTTTTTAGCAAAGATATGTACAGGTGAAACTCGAAAGATTAGAATATCGTGCAAAAGTTCATTTATTTCAGGAATGCAACTTAAAAGGTGAAACTAATATATGAGATAGACTCATTACATGCAAAGCAAGATAGTTCAAGCTGTGATTTGTCATAATTGTGATGATTATGGCTTACAGCTTATGAAAACCCCAAATCCACAATCTCAGAAAATTAAAATATTGTGAAAAGGTGCGATATTCTAGGCTCAAAGTGTCCCACTCTAATCAGCTAATTAAGCCATAACACCTGCAAAGGGTTCCTGAGCCTTTAAATGGTCTCTCAGTCTGGTTCAGTAGGAATCACAATCATGGGAAAGACTGCTGACCTGACAGCTGTGCAGAAAACCAACATTGGCACCCATCATAAGGAGGGAAAGCCTCAAAAGGTAATTGCAAAAGAAGTTGGATGTTCCCAAAGTGCTGTATCAAAGCACATTAATAGAAAGTTATGTGGAAGGGAAACGTGTGGAAGAAAAAGGTGCACAAGCAGCAGGGATAACCGCAGCCTGGAGAGGATTGTCAGGGAAAGGCCATTCAAAAGTATTGGGGACGTTCACAAGGAGTGGACTGAGGCTGGAGTCAGTGCATCAAGAGCCACCACACATAGACGGATCCTGGACATGGGCCTAAAATGTCGTATTCCTCTTGTCAAGCCTCTCCTGAACAACAAACATCAGAAGCGTCTTACCTGGGCTAAAGAAAAACAGACCTGGTCAGTTGCTCAATGGTCCAAAGTCCTCTTTTCTGATGAAAGCAACCTTTGCATCTCATTTGGAGACCAAGGTCCCAGAGTATGGAGGAAGAATGGAAAGGCACACACTGCTTGAAGTCCAGTGTGAAGTTTCCACAGTCTGTGTTGATTTGGGGAGCCATGTCATCTGCTGGTGTTGGTCCACTGTGCTTCATTAAGTCCAGGGTCAATGCAGCCGTCACCCAGGAGATTTTGGAGCACTTCATGCTTCCTTCCACAGACGAGCTTTATGGGGATGCTGACTTCATTTTCCAGCAGGACTTGGCACCTGCCCACACTGCCAAAAGCACCAAAACCTGGTTCATTGACCGTGGGATTACTGTGCTTGATTGGCCAGCAAACTTGCCTGACCTGAACCCCATAGAGAATCTATGGGGCATTGCCAAGAGAAAAATGAGAGACATGAGACCGAACAATGCAGAAGAGCTGAAGGCCGCTATTGAAGCATCCTGGTCTTCCATAACACCTCAGCAGTGCCACAGGCTGATAGCTTCCATGCCACGCCGCATTGAGGCAGTATTTGCTTCAAAAGGGGCCCAAACCAAGTACTGAGTACATATGCATGCTTATACTTTTCAGAGGTCCGATATTGTTCTATGTACAATCCTTGTTTTATGATTGCATGTAATATTCTAATTTTCTGAGATTGTGGATTTGGGGTTTTCATGAGCTGTAAGCCATAATCATCACAATTATGACAAATCACGGCTTGAACTATCTTGCTTTGCATGTAATGAGTCTATCTCATATATTAGTGTCACCTTTTAAGTTGCATTACTGAAATAAATGAACTTTTGCACGATATTCAAATTTTTCAAGTTTCACCTGTAGCTGAATACATTTTGGCCTAAATTTATGACAAAATTAGATTTTTAACATTTTTTTACTGGACATGTTTAATAGGAAAAAGTCAAAAACATTGTATTTTTCTCAAAATTGTTGGTCTTTTTATTTATAGCGCAAAAATTTAAAACTGCACAGGCAATCAAATATCACCGAAAGAAAGCTCTATTTGTGGGAAAAAAGGAATTAATTTAATTTGGGTGCAGTTGCATGACCTCGCAATTGTCAGTTAAAGTAACGCAGCGCTATATCGCAAAAACTGTCCTGGTCAGGAAGGGTTAAATCCTCTAGAGGGCAAGTAATTAAATGATAGGGACAGAATATCAACCAAAAATCCACAAAAACACATGATACAAATGCTATAAATGGAGATGCAGTTCAGTGAGCAAAATAAGTATTTGACCCCCTATCAACCAACAATAATTCTGGCTCCCACAGACTGGTTATGTGCTCATGTGGTACACAGATTAGTCCTGACAATTTAAGAAAGCGCTCCTAACGTCAACTCGTTATGTGTATAAAAGAAACCTGTCCACAGAATCTCTTTCTTGGGCATCACCATGGGCAAGACCAAAGAGCTGTTAAAGGACATCAGGGACAAGATTTTAGACCTGCACAAGGCTGGAATGGGCTAAAAGACTATCAGCAAGAAGCTTGGTGAGAAGGAGACAACTATGATTATTCGCAAATGGAACAAATGCAAAATAACCATCAATCGCCCTCGATCTGGACCTCCATGCAAGATTTTGCTTCATGGGAAAAGGATGATCATGAGAAAAGTGAGGGATCTTGTGAATGATCTCAAGGCAGTTGGGACCACAGTCGCCACACAAACGTTTGGTAACACAATATGCCACCATGGATTGAAATCCTGCAGCGTTTGCAAGGTCCCCCTCCTCAAGAAGACAAATGTGCAGGCCCATCTGAAGTTTTCCAATAAACATCTAAATGATTTAAAGAAGGATTGGGAGAAAGTGCTGTGGTCAGGTGAGACCAAATTGAACTCTTTGGCATTAACTTGAATCATGTTTGGAGGAAGAAAAATGCTCACTATGACCCTAAGAACACCATCCCTACAGTCAAGCATAGAGGTGGAAACATTATGCTTTTGGGCTGATTCTCTGCTAAAGTTACAGGACTTTGCCGCACTGAGGGGCCAATGGGCAGGGCCCTGTATTGTAAAATCTTGGATGAGAAACTTCTTCCCTCAGCGAGAACATGGAAGATGGGTCGTGCATTGGTATTCCAGCATGACAATCACCCAAAACATACCGCCAAGGCAACAAAGGAGTGGCTCAAGAAGAATCAAATTAAGATCATGGAGTGGTCTACCCAGTCTCCAGACCTTAATCCTATAGAAAATTTATAGAGGGAGCTGAAACTTCAAGTTGCCAAGCGACGGCCAAGAAACCTTAAGATCTGTAAACAAGAGTGGACCAAACTCCCTCCTGAGATGTGTGCAAACCTGGTAACCAACTACAAGAAACATCTTACCCCTGTGCTTGCCAGCAAGGGTTTCTTCACCAAGTACCAAGTCATGTTTGCTTGGGGATCAAATACTTTTTTTACTCACTGAACTGCAACTTAATATGTATATCATTGGTATCGTGTTTTTTTATGGATTTCTGGTTGATATTCTGTCTCTATCATTTAAAATACGGTACACCTAGGATAAAAATGATAGGCCCTTCATTTCTTTGTAAGTGGGCAAACTTACAAAATCTGCAGGGGATCAAATAATTATGTTCCCCATTGTATCAAGGATGAGGAGTGCTAATTATTATTGTTGATGAGGCAAGAGTTTGCTAGCCGATATGGAATGCAAAACTCTCCTATCCAAGAAATGATTTTTTTCCAGCAGCAACTTGGTTCTCCAGAGAGGCTTGCATTTATTGGAACCCTGCACAGAACAGAATGTTTGCAAATAATATAGTGATCAAAAGCCTTCAATGTACCCATTCCTGCTCTGATGATACATTAGTAGGCATAGAGATCTTCTACCTGTCCAACATATTTTCAATCTATAATATGCACCTAGGTAGCTTCCAAAATGATGTTGTGTAAGCCGGTGTTTCTCAACCTTTTTTCAGTCAAGGCCCCCTTTTAAAATTCTGCAAAACCTCAAGGCACCCATGCTAAACTATAAAAAACTGCACTAATAGATTTTTTTTTTAATATAATGCAGCAACATCCACACATGTAGGACACCTAATGTTAGAGGTGACTTATTCTTCCAAAACAAATACACCTTTGCACAGTGTTACCGATTAGTATTCCAAGGTTTCTGTTTTGGCCTCAGTTTCTCTCCGTCACTCAGCCAATGTGACCTCAGTGCTGACGGAGAGGAGCAGGGTCAAACAAGGATGCTGTGCAAACTCCAGATGTCCTCTTTATCAACCAATTACATAATTGCTTGTTAGGATGCTGGTGGCTAGAAAGATGTAATACTGTACTGTACAATGAAAATCCATGGCTTTATGCAGCTAAAAGGATATTTTAAACCACTTGTTGGCTTGTATGCTAATTTTAGGCATTTTTCCAAGGTACCCCTGAAGAAACTCAAATGCACCCTGGTTGAAAAAGTCTGATGTGACCAATCAAAAAACTTTTCTTGATATACAGTTTCTACCCCCAATCTAAAAAGAGCTGACTGGTTGGTCCAGCACTTTTCATCTTAACTTGAAAATACCCTAATTGCATTTTACTGAAAGCAACAATTAACAGCTACAATTAAGCTACAGTATCTACAACCCCTGTTAGCCAGGACAGTAAACTGAACATCTGACCAATTAATTTTCTTGTTACAGTTATACAGGTACATTTTGCTTGCCTTTTGAGTAGCATTAGCACAGGAAAAAAGCCAGTCAGCTCTATAAATCTTGATGATCTCCCTCAAGTGTAAAAGTACTCTGTCCTCATCACTAGTCTATGTATGTTCATGCAATATCCACCTATACACCTGTCATCTCTGTGCTGGATGACCCTGTTGATCTTGGACGAATCCCAGCTTTATGACATTTGGTCCAGCACATATATATAGTGTGTGTGTGTATATATATATATATATACACACACATATACACATTTTTACATACATAACAAAAAAAACATTATGGTCACCGACAGGTAAAATGAAGAACATTGATTATTTGGTTACAATGGCACATGAGCATCTTATACACATGGATCACCGACAGTGTTCATGGAGCATCAGAAAGGGACCATGGAGCAAGGGAAAAAAGGTGGCCTGGTCTGATGAATCACCTATTCTTTTAGATCATGTGGATGCCTGAGTGTGTATGCGTGCCCTCTACCTAGGGAAGGGATGGCACCAGGATGCAC